TATAATTTTCCTACTCTGCACTTTTAGTAAGCAATTTTGCCTTCTATATTTTTCTGCATAACTTGCAATAAATATATATTTTGTGTAGAGGTTTCTAATTGCAAACCACATTATAGAATGGCATAGAAATACTTCGACTGAGATATATTTACAGAAAAATTTGGAGGAAAGACGTGTGCTGTTTATTTCTTAACTGCAATTCTGTCTCTAATTAATACTATTTAACCCAGTTCTTGAAAAGGTACAAGAGAAAAAAGAAGCAGTAGAAGCAGCGTGAATGGCAAAAATGAAATTTTGTTATTAATTTTACTAATAATAATAAAGAATATAATACATTTGTACCATAAGGAAGTCCAACAATCAGATCCCAGTTCTCTTCCATTTTTATTTCAAAATTTAGAACCAACAGAAGAGTACTTTAGCAAATCAGCACTATCACAGAACATTAATTGTACCACTAAATAATTATATTTAATAGGCAAAATAAAACACCACAAATTTTAAATAAAATGTACTTTTTAGGTATATGCAATTAATTTCAATATTCTGGTGTAGACATATAATTCTAGCTTAATAAAGAATGTATTTATTTTAGTGTATGGCGTTGTTACATTAGATAGGAGACTATAATGCTAATGCATAGTAGTTTGCTGCCTGTTTACTAGCTCTGTTAGGTACACACTTGTGAGCTTCCCACCATGTGCTACAAGAGGGCAAGGTAGCTTTGGACCAGGAAGATGAGTGGCTTTTCCTGCAGCGCCATCCAAGGCCCTTCTCTCTTTACCTAAGCTATCTTGCAAATGGGAGTCACAACCGGGAAGGTTCAGTGCTAGCAGGATTTTAACTGCCGCACAAAGCGACAACTCTTCTTGTACTCACATAAAACATGATTTTGAACTGCTAGGTGGGCAGAAGCTGAGGCAAGTAATGAGAGTCTACTCCAACATGCAATGCTAGGACTTGAACTACTGGAAGAGAGATCATTAAGCCACTGAGCTACCATACCTCTTAGTAAAGAGTTTACTAAATAGCAAACAAGTGGTAGGCCCAGTGATGGTGAACCTTTTGGGCTCAGTGTGTCAAAATGTGGAAAATCTCTTACAGATAGTCCTCAACTTAGGATTCCAATTGAGCCCCAAATTTATGTTGCTAAGTGAGAAATTTATTAAGTGAGTTTTGTCCCATTTTAGGAATATTCTTGTCAGATCTGTTAAGTGAATCATTGCAGTTGTTAAATCAGTGTCACAGTTGTTAAGTAAATCTGGCTTCCCCATTGACTTTGCCTGTCAGAAGGTTACAAAAGGTGATCACATGATCCCAGGACACTGTAACTGTCATAAATGTGAGTCAATTGTCAAGCATCTGAATGAAAATTGCATGATCATGGGGATGCTGCCATGGTTATAAGTGTGAAAAATTGTCATAAGTCACTTTTTTCACTGCCGTTGTAAGTTTGAATGATCACCAAGCAAACTGTTGTAAGTCAAGGACTACCTGTATTTGATTCTGTTGCTGTGTCATATTCCCCTGCAAGGAAAAGAGAAACCCTATCTCCCACAATGAACAACAGCACTAGGCGGCAATGCTGAGGCTGAGCCAGATGTCTAGGCCTCAACTTTAGCCCTCAAAGTACCATTGCCACTCAAAAAGGCTACTTCATCCTATCATCAAGGCATACCAGCTTTCCATTGCATCATATAGTAAGAAAAAAAAAAGATGTAGTAACCGTACATGTATTTGCTGTAAAGGAAATTGAAAATTTCTTTCTATTGTTTTTTCCTGCCCTTCCTTCCTTCCTTCCTTCCTTCCTTCCTGTATTAGTTGTGTTAGTTTATATTATATATATAAAGTTATAAGTGTGAATGTGTGTATGTATAAAAAAGATGCACAATATAGAAGACAGAATGCTAAATAAAAAAGTCTTGCAAAAAAAATTATCAAATCAATGTTGATCAAATCAATGTTCATACTAAATGAATAAATCAAACATATAAAAAAGTCTACTTCAAAACAGCATATAGACTTGAAATCAGAGATATTTTTATTGGGTATCTTGCCTGAAGGATACAATAGAGAATTGACGTATTTGGTTATAAATGTGTTAATAGCGGCTAGAATTGCAATTGCTAGAAATTGGAAAAGTAAAAAAATTCCAACAGAGGAAGAGGTGATTAAGAAAACGATGGAATGTGCAGAAATGAGTAAATTGACATTAGCAATTAGAGAGCAAGAAGATAAAGAATATTATAAAACTTGGGATTTATTTTATCAATGGTTAGATGAGAAAATAGAGAAGTAAACTATGTTATAAAAAGGAATAGTACAATATATAAGATAATGATGTAATGATATTATATAATTGAACATAATGAAATGAATTGTATGTTCCCAGATTTGTTAAAACTCAGATTCGCTCAATAAGAACTATGGAAATTTATAGCTGAGTCTAATAATGACACAACAATAATACAATATAATATAATATGTATAGTTGACTTTATGCAATATGAATGTATGTTTGGAAGGGGAACATTGTTGATATTGTGACATTGCCCAAAAGAAATGTACCAACCAACATGCTGTATCTTGGAGGATAGTTTTATGTTGATGTTTTGTGTTTGTTAGTGTTTGTCTTTAAAAAATAAAAAACTTAAAAAAAAGTCTACTTGAATGTTTTGGTTTAGCTTAGCATCCAGTATTTTAATGTATTTTACAAGGTTATTAGGTAATCTTTCATATGACCTAATAAAGACTTCTGATAAATGTGCTAGGTTTATTATACATTGTAATCAACTTCAAATTATGAATACCAATATACCTCTTTTTTTGCTTCTTAAAAGGTATCTTATAAACAGCTTGTCTGTTTTTCAACATGAGAAGAAAAATACATTTGGTCTCAATAATGGTTTAGGCAACTACACGTTTGATTTTGGAAAAATAAACCCATTGTTTATAGGGTTTTATTGCCTTTTTTCTTCAGAAACTTTAAATAATTTCCCCTTCCTGAAACATTTAGCTCACTGTTCTGATAACATTTTCTAGATTTGCATACACATGATAGTAAGCTTCAGTTTTCCAGACATTTAACATTTAGAAATTGACTTATTCAGCAGATGGTTCATAGATAGAACTAAGCAAGATCAATCTTTTCTACTGCAGGGAAGAATAAAGCCATGTAAACACAGAAGATTGCCCACGGCAGTATGTAAAATCAAAATATGAATTGAAGTCTACATTCCTGAGTTTAAATCCCAGGCTTTTTCTTTCCGCATTTCTAAGCCAATAGTTTGGAGAACTTGTGCGCCACTTGTTGCATCAAGCAGCCATGTGGAAGTGAGAAACTTTACACAGGCCTAAACTCAGGTATCAATCTCTTCTCCTTTTGCATATGTGCCAAGAAGAAACCTCCCTGCCACAAGTCCACATGGAAATAAGTCCCTTCCACCATGGATACAAGGAAAGAAACTCCTGGTCATTGTGCGTGTAAAGAAAGTGGTTAAATCTGAACCAGAAGGAAACTTTAATTCTACAATATTGTCAGTGGATTTCTCAATGTATTTTCAGTATTATGAAGTTTGAATATAACATGTTTCTATAATGTTCTTGAAAGACATACATGGTTCTAACTAAGAAACTCTTATTTTTTTTCCTGCTGGATCAGGACAAGTAGCCGTCTTATATTTATCACTCTTCAGATTTGATGCTATTACTTTGTACATACAATTAATGAAATTCCAAAATGTAAAATCCATGCATTTAGAGACAATAGATCAGGGGTGTCAAACTTGATTTCATTGAGGACCGCATAAGGATTGTGTTTGATCTCGGGGGGCCGGGGTGGGGTGAGCATGGCCAGTTCAATGTTACTTGTTGAGGCTCCGTTTTTAGCCGCGATGGCCTCCTGCAGCCTTCTGCCAGTGAAAATGGAGCCTGGGGAGGCTCTGCACATTTTTGCTGGCAGAGGCACAACGGGCTGGTCCTTCGCTGTTTCTTTGTGGGCTAAATCTAAGCACTCTGCTGGATCCATCTGGATCTGGCCCATACGCCTTGAGTTTGACACCCCTGCAATAGATTATCCAATTTGGGGAATGGAACTTTTTTTTTGCATATATCCAAAAAACCAAGCAGGATTATAGGATGCTTTAAATGTGGGTATCGAAATGTTTCTTAACTTAATGGATAAAAAAATGCTACACTAAGGACATCCGCTATCCACACATTGATGTACTGTATATGACTTTTCAGCCTCTTTTATTATGTCAGTTTTCCACAGTGTGGTATTCAGTGATTCACAACCTATCACTTGGCTTTTACATGATTACGTGCCCTATCTGTTTCTTAAGCACATTTATGGCAGACAACAACAGATGTGAAGTTTCAGATATTTAAACCTATAAGAAAATATGAACATGACTTTTAAGTGATATATTAATAGCACATTTTTAATGGGGGCTTTTTTTTGCTTTTCATGCCCTTGAATGAATCAAATTTATTTTCCACAAGTCAACTTAATTATTAAATAATGTTAATTATTAGCTGTGGAGCTTTCTGAGTGCCTTTTAAAATAATCTCTTTCTGCACTGAAAGGCTCATGATACCCTGGAATTTTAAATATTTTTATAAGACGATGTTAATGCTGTTTCTTTGAACTTTTATGTTCTATGAAATTATTAAATATGTTCTATCAGCAGCTTCTCTGTTTAATCTGTATTTAGAAATTGCAGAAACTATTTTCACCCAGATTTATCCGCATATCAAAAAACCAAAATACCACAAATTAGTTCTTAATATAGAGGCTTCTTGAAAAAGTGAGCTAAGCAGGTTTGTGGACAGAGTTAATTTTAGACATTTTGTTTTATCATTGCTTTCTCAGGATAGTAGAGATTACTGTTTATGGGTGTAAGAGTCATCTATTATTGTCTTGAGAATTCAGCAACTCTTATTCCACAAAACTCTGATGACGAAGGCATTTTCAGCCAATGACATAGCTGCATACTTACCTAATATACAGGACTCCATTTTGATCCACCCTCCGTTGCCAACCAACTGGGACTTGTACTGCTGGCAGCCCTCCATCTTTGTCCCCACTGTCACATTCCTTGCTTCCATTCATTTTTCTGATTAAGCTTATGATTCTTCAAAGATATCAACAGGAAGATGATATCCTTATTCTAAAAATCATCATGGCCTTCAGGAGGTGGCCACACGGCACAGTAATTCCCAGGGTGTACAAAGTGCATTGGAAGGCCTCTGTCTCAGTCCACAAAGTCGACCATTTTTGTTGCTGTTGTTGACAAGTCAATTGCCCATTCTGAATCGAGGCAGTTATGAAATGTGTTACTCCTTATGTAGTCATAAGGATATCCTAGATAGGTAAAAACAAGTATTTCCAACTTGGGAAAACCATAATCCATCAATTTTCTGTCATTGGCAACAAAGGGACACAAATGTTTATTCCTAGTTCCATAGCACAACTCCAAACTTGCTGACTGTCTAAGCTAATTTGTATTTTGAGAAATTAACTCCCATTTTTACAGAAGTATGGCAACTAATACCTCCAGGTATTCAATCCTTTTCATATGCCACATTCTTTTTGTTTTCTCATGCTCTTCCATTCATTGTCCAAGGTACTCCTGGACACTTCTTCTGATTCTCTCATGATGGTACAACTTCAAGATGAAAGCCTGAGGAGACAACATAAAGAGCTGAATATAATTATCACTTTTTAAAAATGGAAGTTAGGTATGTGCATTTTAAATTTGTTCTGTTTGGGGTATTAAATAGCTCATTAAATATGAATTCTTTTCCTCTCAATCTATTTGCACAATACAACATAGTCTGATGAACTGTCATTTTGGGTTTACACAAATGGGACTTGTATCCCCACCACAAGCTTTAGTTAGAGAGTTGGGTTATGCAAACCCAAACATTGGATGTTTCAGGACATAATAGATCTAAAATAATAATCCAAATCCACAGGCTGCTTCGCTACAGTCTCTTTTTATCCGACAGCTGGCATGAGATCACACCTCCCTACATTTTGCTGTCCCGCACACTGTACCTCACAATGGACAGTTCTGAGCCTTCCAGAGGAAAGGGAAAATGCTAATGTGCCCTTTGTTGGAATTTTCACCAGATTTGAGATCCGTTTCTCCAGTGCATCGGAGGATTTCCACTTCCTGCACAGAGGGGGAGAGGGGGGGGGGAATCCCTTGGTATCCTGGTGTAATGGAACTAACATCCAAGATTCCCTCTGCTTGCAACCTTTCCTGCTGGCTTCCCCATTGTCTTTCTGGGGCACTCACTTGGCAACTGGTTGTAGATGCAAACAGGTTGATAAATACCAAAAACACAGTAATGTGACTGGAGGGGGGCTGGCATGACATTTTACATTGGCCAACAATGCTTTACTGACCATACACCTGTTCTGAGGCTGTTGTGACTGCGAACAGTTGACCAAACATAAGCTGATGACTGCTTGTAAAATTTAAAGGAGGGATGGATTTAGCACACCCGAATATGGAGTATGTGATGCCATGCAGCAAGTTTTCTTTAATTTTTTGACCGCTTGTCAAGTTAACCATTTCAAGAGCAAATGACATACAGAGCAACCCAAAGAACAGAGTTTTTCAGTCCCATGTTCATAACAATGTAGTCAACGAACAATGTAATTGATGTCAGGGACACTTGCTCTGCAGATGGATACATAACTGCTTAGTTAAACCGTTTACAAAGGAAAGAAGGAAGGAAGGAAGGAAGGAAGGAAGGAAGGAAGGAAGGAAGGAAGGAAGGAAGGAAGGAAGGAAGGAAGGGAGAAAAAAGGTGTACAGGTGCCAAGGATCCAATCTCCATCACAGCCAGAACTGAATGAAGAATGGATTAAGTAGCCAGAGACCAGATTGAAGAGGCAGTCCTAAAGGAAACAAAATTGAGAGTATGGAACATATCTTCTCCCTGTGTATATATATGGACCCTATATTGTCAGCAAGCTCTTTCTAAAGATGGGATGAGAAAATACTAGTTCCAGAATTGGATATCAAGCTATCCTTGGACTGCCTTAGCTGTGGGGAGGACATTGAAATACAAGGCAACGGCACGTTGACATGCTTGAGAAATGGTTAGCTCTGTCTTTATGCATGGCAAGGAGACTTCAGCCATAGTTAAAACATTAATTCAACCATAGTTAAAACACTCGGGCTGTGGCACTTCTGTCAAAGACGAACCAGAGACAGCGATTGTGCACAGATTTGATCCATGCTTGCCCTGTTGGAGGGGTCCTTAAGGGACCGGAGTCATCTGACCCATCTTGTAGAGCTGGGGGAAGAGGGGGAGACCACCAGCTGAGTCGAGGGGAGCCGCATCTCTCCTCCCTGGCTTGGTACACTCCTGTAGAAGACAGGGAGAAGTGGCAGTTTAATGGCTGTCCTGAAGATGGTAAGTTGCCGGGACCTAAGTGCATGCTGGAGTGGTAAAGTGGTGAGCGACGTGTAACTGGATAAAAGACTTGGAACGTTTTTTGACAACCCCGAAAGAGTCCTCATTTGGAAGTGTGATAGCAGCAAATGGGAAATAAGAGGAAAATACAAGGTAAATAAAAAACTGGAAATGAAAGAACTATATGAATTCAGAGATTAAATGTGCAATAACTTACCGAATTGGGCACTAATCAGGCATTGGATAAAATGCTGGACTTGTTTGGAATGGATAAAATTTAATGTTTATACAATTGAAAAAAGAACAAAGGAAAGAACTTTGAAAAATGGAAACAATACATAGCTCCATCCAATGGTCAAAGAGATTTCCTCTTTTATGTTTCTAGAGAAAATTACTGGTCGTATAAAAGTGGGAAAGAGAAAAGAAGTGAAAGAGAAGATTACCATCATAACAAGAACCCCAGAAGCCTTTTTAAAAAAGGAGTGGGATTGTAGTAAAGTATAAATGAATGTAACATCTTGGGATTGTTTGGTGTTGATTGTGATGAGAAAACAAAGGAAGAGAAATTGAGATAAATGGAGACTTTTGGTAAGGACTATAATAGAAAAACTTGACTCTTAATAAAATAAAGAACAACTCAACAAATTAAAGAAATGGAAGAAATAAGCAAAGAACTTAAGTCGGAACTGCAAACTATGAGAGGAATGTTAAAAGAAAGGAGGACACTATTGAATACATTTTTTGGCAAAGTAATGGCATCACAGTTTGAACAAAGAAAGCCTAGAGAGGAGGAGTTAAAGGAGAAGCAAAGCAGCCTAGAGGAATATGGAGAACAAGGGCCATTGCCAAAAGACATAAAAGGACCTAAAGTAGAAATATTGATGACCGAGGCAATAAAGAAAAGAGAAAACACTCCCAAGACTAAGCAGAAGAAGAAGGAATTCTACAAGAAGAAACCTCAAAAAAGAGAACAGAAAAAACATGGGGGAAACACGGCTGATAGGCAGAGGGAAAGGAAAATAAGATTAGAAAAGGGAAAGCTGGCTAAAATTAAAATAAATATTAAGGCCGAGAGATTTAGAGATAATGGCTAGGGATAGTATAAGGGGGATATCACATGGGAATATATATGAGTATTTTTCCTTTCTTTTTATTGGAAATATAGATTGGGGAAATTTGAAGTTTAAAATTTGTTGGGAAACACTTTATCATATATATATGTATGTATGTATGTATGTATGTATGTATGTATGTATATATATATATATATTTGGTTATTTGGGTTTTCTGTGCTTCGAAGCACAGAGCTGAAGACACAAGCCTGAAGATGATGAATGAGACTTCATCGAAACATTGCCTAGATACTGCCAATCTTACGCGGGAGAAAACCTGAATAACCAAAGATCCACATACAAATACCCATGAGAACCTCAGAAAACATATATATATATATATATATATATAAAATGTTATATGAATTTTACTATTAACTTTCTTTTTTTTCTTTGCATATATACATCCTAAAAATATATAGTTGAATGAGAGTATTTTATTATTAAAATAGGGAATGAAAAAGTATTGAATTACATAGATTGAGGGGATATACCATGTGGATCCTAAATATATTACTTTATCTTATTTTTTTTATTCTTTTCAAATTGTTTATTATATGCTGCTCTAGAGAAAGCTAAGGATGATAATGATGTATGTAAAATAAAATGGGTGATAAGCTGAAAATGGAAATAATAGGGGATGAAGAATTGAAAATATATGTATGGATGGAATGATAATGATATTGAATCAATGAACTGAAATATGAAATGGAAACCTATTTAAAGATAAGCGGAATGGATAATGACTTGAGGTGAAATTATACAAGATAGATGAAAATGTAAGCATGACTGTATAAATGTTGTAATCTGGAATCACGTTGCTCACGTGAAGAGAACGTGTTAAAAATAAAAATACATTTGAAAAAATAACCATAGTTAAAACATAATGTAAATAGAAGTACATGTAGCCCTCGACTTACGACAATTGAGCCCAAAATTTCTGTTGCTAAGTGAGACATTTGTTAAGTGAATTTTGCCCCATTTTACAACTTTTCTTGCCATAGTCATTAAGTGGTTGCTAAATGAGGATTACCTATATCTCTGTCTCTAGCTATGTGTGCTCAATAATGTAATTAAAAATTGCATTGTCAGATTTTTTTATGGTGAAATCCATATTCATATCCATGAATATGGATTCCCCATTGGTTTTGCTTGTCAGAAGATTGCAAAAGGAGATCACATGACCCCAGGACACTGCAACTGTCATAAATATGAGTCACTTGCCAATTTTGATCACATGACCATGGAGATGCAGCAATAGTGTGAAAATTGTAACTTTTAATGGTCACTAAACGAATTGCTGTAACTCAAGGATCACCTGTAGCTAATTGCTATGGTCGGTGATCTCTCATCAGCTGTGTTAGTTCCAAACGTAATTTTGAAGTGGCTAGAAATTACGAAATCTGAATATGTTGTGCTCATTTCACATGACACACAACCACAAACCTGTACATCTGGAGACAATATTTTTCACCATATTCAATTTTATATTGTTCTAGGACAACATATCACATATACCCATCTATGCTAATTTGACAAGTATAGGAACCATTGGTTTTCAGTTCCAATCCAATTTAACTAAAATGGCAGCCATTACAGGAAGTGAAATCCCCATTGATTTTGCTTGTCAAAAGGTTGCAAACAGGACACAAAACTAGGTTCATATTACACACTTAATCAAGATCCAACAAGGCCACTTTCCCCCATTATTTGCATATTGCTTTACTTAATTGCTCTGGGCTTTGTACATAACTAGGTTTTGACTGGTCTCAGGTATTTAAAATTTATGCCTCTATTATGGAAGGAAAAAGAAGTCTACTAAGGTTTCCAGATACTAGCATAATGAGAATAAAAGTTGGCATCAGCTTCTATTCACTGGGGAACAACTTTGTGCTTAGGCCTGAACCTGCATCTTGAATGGTAGAACACATAAATGTCAGACAATTATGTTGGATTCATACCATAGCTTGCTTTAATAATGGTTTGTTGATCCTAGGGCAGAAAACATACAAAACAATAAACAATGGTTTGTTTATTTCCCAACTCTTTATACTGACCAGCTGCCGGGGACTCTGGACATTCATAAATAAAAACATACAGAATAATAAACAGATACAATGATTTAAAAAAACAAGGAA